GTGTGAAAAGGCAGTGGTGAAGCCTGCACAGTAAAGTAGGTGCTGTTTGTTCTCTCTTGTGCCCCATCTCCCCGTTGCTCTCTGCTCAGAGCATTGGTCCGTGGGTCTCCTCTGGTGGGAGCTGTGGGTCTCTGAGCCAGGCCGGAGGGGCTCAGCCTCAGTGCTGCTGCTCAGGAGGTCTCTGCCCCGTTCGTGTTCCAGTCTTGCAGGCCCACGGTGTTCCAAACACCTGCCTGATGTCCCACAGACTTTGATGCTCTTTGTGGGCGCTGCCCACCCTGCCCTGGGAAAGCTGCTGGTGCAGCCCCAACTTGCCCTCCTGGGGGGTGCAGCTGCAGCTGCGGTTATCAGCCCTTGGAAAAGCTGGGTGGATGTAGGAGTCCCGGCAGAGAGCCAAGCCAGCGCTCTCTGCGTTTCCAGAGCCTGGAGTGGTTTGTTTATGGCATGCTGTGATACCCACCCTGCACCACCATCTGCATCCAGATAGACCCACAGAAGCCAGGGGGTCGCTCCAAGTGCTGCTCCCAGCCTGGAGGGCTTCGGCTGGCATTGAGCACACACAGAGGTGATGGGGGATGCCAGGGCTTGCAGTCCGAAAAAGACAGAAAGAACTGATCCTTGTGTAAAGAGCAATGGAGGGCAACAGCCCTTGGGACTAGAGAGCAAAGTCAACACAGAGTCCAGCCAGCTTGGACTGTCCCAGGTGATCGTGGTCAGTGGTTCAGAGCATTTCTGGGTATCCAGGTGTTGGCTGGTGCCATTCCATAGAGGCTCTCTAATAGCTATGGTCTTGGGAAGACTGGATTGTTTTGGAATTGGAGTTGTCCCTGTGCATTAAGGGACTGTGTGAGGGATACAGCATCTCTGATGGCTCAGGAGGCATTCCTCCTCTGAGGGAGCAGCACAGAGCTGTCTCAAGGAGGCTGAGTTGGCTATCAGGGAAGAGTTCTTCCCCCAGAGGGTGGCTGGGCTCTGAACAGGCTCCCTAGGGAACGGTCATGGCCCCAAGGCCGCCAGAATTCAGGGAGCATTTGCACAGTGCTCTCAGGCACAGGGTGGGATTGTGCAGGGCCAGGGATCAGACTTAATGATCCTTGTGGGTTTCTTTGAGCTCGGGATATCCTGGGATATTTGTGATTCTGTGGTCACAGCCATGTCACCTCTCCCAGAGAGATGCCCTGCCTGCTTTTTAGTGTTCTTTAAGGTACTTCCCTTTACTCTGGTGTGTGCAGTACTGATGTGCAGGGCATGTGAGGGAAGGCTTCTGAGAGAACACGGGCTGTTTTCTCATGCACTGGGTGAAGTTTGCATAGTGAGTTGGGTAGGTCATGATAAATATCACCTCGTGTTGGTACTTGCCTTGGTTGAGCTGGGAGTGTTGGTGAGAGGCAGAGGTGTCGTGGTGGGGTTAGAGATGCCTCGGATGCTGGGGCCAGTGTGGTGTCTGCACTTTGGAAAAGCTCGAGGCTTCTGGAGGTGTCAGGGAGGGAGCTGTGGGACAGTGCTGTGGAGGGCTCAGTTGTCAGGACAAGGTCAGAGGGTGTGCAGAGGATGCAGAGGAGTCTGGCTGCAGTCACGGGCAGCCTTAGGGAGAGGGAGCCCTGTGCCTTCAGTGTTCCCTGCCGGGGCTCGGGGGGCTGCACAGCTGCAGCTGAGCTCAGGCACATTGGGAACAGGTTTTTGCTGCTGAGGTAGATCCCCACAGAGGGCTGTGATGGGAGGCTGAGTTACCTTCTTTCCATGCCACTCTCTGCTGGGTTTTCCCTTCCAGCAGACCCTGTCCCACCATCACAGTAGGGTTTGGTCTGTGTTTGGGTGGGAGCTGGAGAGCAGCAGGTGCTGAGAGGTTTCTGTGTCTTCCAGAGTGTGCACTGACCTCAGAGCACAGTGACACCGGCTGCTGCCACCCGTGCATGCTGACAATGCAAGGGTGGCAGTTCCCAAGTGTGCCCTTTCCCAGAGAGACACAGCATCGTCCCCTTTTGTGGCTGCAGAGTGTTTACAGCTCTGCTGAGAGAATCCTCACCAAGGTCATGTCCTGCAGTGGGTGCCCGTGCTGGCTCAGTGCTGACTGGAGCTGGCTATGCCTGTGCTGGTCCTTGACCTGCAGAAATCCCCCTCCTGCCAGCATTACGGGGTACAGGCTTTATCAGCCTGGCCTGGGAGGGGTGGCTGTGCCTGCACAGCCCCTGCCTCCCTTTGATCCCTCTGTGGGCAGGTGGGTCCGTTCGTGTGGCCGCAGTGGTGGCCGTGGTGGCCTCCGTGTGTGTGGCCTCTGCTGTGTTTGCACAGCCAGCCTCTGACCTGGTTTCAAGGCTGGGTTCAGTGTCCAGGGGCGCAGTGTCCAAGGGAGCTGCACCATGGCTTGGATGATGGGCTGGTTAATTATTAGTTGCTGTGTGGGGAGGCTGATGTGTCTGGCACTGGCGCTTCTGGAGCACGGGGTAGATGAACCTGCTGTGCATCATCCTTGGAGCGAGCAGCTGGGCTGAGGAGTTGCATTTGGCTGGCCAGCCCCTTTCTCCTGCCAGCCCCCCTGGCCTGTGGGTGCTGGGAGCTGTGGGTGTGTGGCTGAACCCCTCCAAGCTGCCATCAGGGCACGGGGAGCCACGGTGTCCGAGCTCCGTGATGGAGGGTGCTGACCCTGCCTCCCCCGTGCCCTGTCCCACAGCTGGGCTCTGTCTGTAGCTCCTGAAGGTGTCCAGGATGGCCAGCTGACCGAGGGACAGCAGACACAGAGTGCCTCCTTTACATCCCTGTCTGCTCTTGTGCATGGCAGGGGCTCTGCCCACCCCAGATCCCAAATTTCCACTTTCTGCAGTAGAGCTGCCTGTGCCAGGAAACCTCCATCAACAGAAGCTACTGGGGAGTAGCAGAATTGTCCTGAGTTTTCTTTTCCCAGGCCAGTCTGGACTGATCTCCTCTTGTAAGGTTGTGTTGTGGAGCCAAGGATGCTGTTGGGCTGTGCAGAAGCTCTGGGTATGACAGTGGTTCCCTGAGCCCTCTGCTTTGGTTTTGGAGGTCACGTGCACCTGGGGAAGGTGTTGAACTGCAGCACAGACAGCCTGCTCCCCTCTCTGTGATTTAATAAAGAGAGAATGCAGGAGGAGTGACCAGGCGTGCCTGGTGCTCGGGTAAGCTGGGCTAACGGGAGTGAGGAGCGGGGTGTGTTGTGGGGCTGAGTACAGTGCTCTCAGCCTCGTGTTGTCAGCTTTTGTTTCTGTTAAGCTTTACTCAGGAGCCTTCTCAGCCCGTCAAAAATCCAAGTGTTGCAAGCTCTTGAACCTGGGTTAGGAAGCAAGCCGGGATCTGTTGGGATGGTTGGTGCAGGAGGCGGCTGGCAGTTGTTGGGGCAGCGTGTCCTGTCATCCTTGAGCAGATCCAGAGCCCAGCCAGCCCTGTGCAGGGCTCTCCCTGCCTCTCCTCCTTCCCAGGGCCAGGCACCGAGTGTGTGTGGCCTGTGCTCCAGTCAGAACCTGCCAAAAGCCTGCTGTGTGCAGTGAAACAGCACGAGAGTGTGCTGCCTGCTCCTTCGGGCCTGCGTGGGGCTTTACCTGCCACATTACCTGCCAGAGAGGCTGAGCAGGGCACAGGTCCCAAGTGGAGGTGACAGCTATTTTTAGAGCCAGTGATGCAGTTGGAAATACAGGTGTGCTGTTACCTTTTGGAAAGGGCTCAAAAATGTATCATTTTCCTCCTGACTGATGAATTGTTCTAATAAAAACATTACCTCTGCCTAAAAAAGGAAAGGGCAGGTGAAAGACACCGCAGAGAAATGATTCCTCAGGAAGGCTATAAATAACCTGGTGTCCCTGCAGCAGGCTTGGGGAGTACTTGTCTGTAACTCCTGGAAAAGGAGTGTTCCTAGGTCAGCCATGGAAGGTAAAACTCCAGGCAGGAGCACCATGTGCACACCTTTCTCGAACATGATGGGTGGATGTTGTGGGTGCTGGTGGCGCCCAGAACAGGGGCCAGGGCACAGTGCCAGGCCCTGGCTTGGTGCCCGGTGCTCTCAGAGCAGCCTAGCCTGCCCTCTGGCAGTGGGAGCAGCAGTGGGCTCTCCCCGTGGCCGTGGGCTGCCCAGCGAGGGGGCAGAGCTGAGATGGAGGAAGAGCTGGTGCTGTTTGTGCTCAGCCTCCTCGTGGGAGTTAGGAGGGCTGGAACAGCAGCTGGGGTGAGGGCAGGCCCTGGGGGGCTCTGGCGGGGCTGTGGGGCCCAGTGCTGCTCCAAGGCTGGAGCCCCTCTGCTCTGGAGCCAGGCTGGGACACCTGGAGGTGCTCATCTGGAGAGGAGAAGCTCCAGACAGAGCTCAGAGCCCTGGCACGGCCTGAAGGGGCTCCAGGAGAGCTGGAGAGGGACTGGGGACAAGGGATGGAGGGACAGGACACAGGGAATGGCTCCCAGTGCCAGAGGGCAGGGATGGATGGGAGATTGGGAATGAGGATTTGCTCCCTGGCAGGGTGGTTTGGGTACTGCTGGAGCAGCACTAGGAGCTGTGGATGTGGGGCTGGGGCTGCTGGGGCGGATCTGGAGCCTCGGGTGGCACTGGAGCAGTGGCAGTGCCCAGGTCACCGTGTTTGATTGCTGCCTGCCTTTGGGTCTGGTGGATTTGCTGCTTCCCTTGTGAGCCATCTGACATTCCCGTTCCTGCAATGGTCTGTGGCCGCAGATTTGGCAGGTTTATTAGAGGCCCCTGAAGGCGCAGAGCTCCCGCAGATTGCTGCCCTCCAAAATCCTTTCTGTTTGTATGTGATACACATGCAGGAGGTGCTGCTCTGTGGGTCCTGCCCTGGAGCTGCTGTTGGATGGAAGGTGTGACCTGGCCAAGGCGAGTGGGGGACTGGGGTTTGTCAGGGGTGCTGCTGGCTGCCCCTGGCACTCAGGGTGTCCTCCAGGCTCCACTCAGGCTGGCTCCTCCTGCAGCTCTGTGTCTGGCAAGAACCATACATCCTTGCTGGGATCTCGAGGCTAACCTGATGATTTCTTCCCTCTGTCTGCAGATTCGTTTGTGAACAGCCAGGAATGGACCCTCAGTCGCTCGGTGCCTGAGCTGAAGGTGGTGAGTACTTGTGGCTTGTGCCTGGGATACCCCTGGATTCCCAAATCCTCAGGAGAACCCTGCATTTTTGTGTGGCCAGGTGGAAACACTCAGAAGGGAGAGGGGAGCTGGGCTGCTGCTGTGCCAGGGAAGGGCTGATGTTTCTCAGTTAAGCTGCAGGTGCTTCAGTGATTGATTCCTCCTCTGCTCTTCCTGTGCTCTCTGTGCCAGCGCTCAGCTCTCCTTACAAGCTCCTGGCATGTGCCCTTCGTTCTGTCTCCCTTCAGCTTTTGCAAGGTTAACGTTTTTCAATGTTAGTCCAAGAAACAAAAGAACAAAATTCTTCTTGCAAAACATTCCAGCACTGTCCTGCCACAGTGTCTCTACCTGCAGTTAAATGAGAATAAAACCATACTTCAAATATTTGTTAGTTTACCTGTGAAATGCATTTTAAAAACATTCTCGCAGCTGTTTGGGTGTTGCTGCCTGATGTTGGGGTTCTGCAAGGCTGCGGAGCCATGCTTCCAGATAAACCACCTTAAAGCTCTTAGCTCTTCCTCCAGTGGCATAACCATTTCCCCAGGTTTTGCATGGCCTCTGGGGATCTCTGTTGCTCTGGGATTTGATCTGGCCAAAGCAGCTCTTCCAAAAGCCCAGAGGCCTTTCAGAGTCCTGGTTTAGAGTTGGGTTGGAAAAGCCTCTGGAGATCCTTGAGTCCAGCTGCTTCCCCAGCACTGCCAAGGCCATCACTGACTGTGTGCCCAGGTGCAGCATCCACACAGCTGGTAAATTCCTGCAGGGTTGGGGCCTCCCCCCCTGCCCTGGGCAGCTGTGCCCGGGCTGCACAGCCCTTTCCAGGAAGGGATTTTCCCTCTGCCCACCCTGAGCTGCCCCGGCCCAGCCTGGGGCCGTTCCCTCCCTCCTGTCCCTGTTCCCTGGAGCAGAGCCCGACCCCCCCGGCTGTGCCCTCCTGGCAGGAGCTGTGCAGAGCCACCAGGGCCCCTGAGCCTCCTTTGCTGGGTGAGCCCCTGCCCAGCTCCCTCAGCCTCTCCTGGGGCTCCATTCCCTTCCCAGCTCCGTTCCCTGCCCTGCACACACTCCAACCCCTCCAGGTCTTTCTTGTCATGAGGGGCCCAAACTGACCCCAGCAAGAAATTTTGCCAGATTTCACTTCCTTCCCGTTCTCAACAGCTCTGTGTCCTCTGTCTCCCACAGGAGCTGAGGGTCTCACGGCTCTCCCTGCTTGTGTTCCCAGGCATTCAGGATACTTTCTCCAAGGTCTTTGAGTAATTTGATGTACTTAAGAATGTACCTTCAGCAGTTTTTGCTGCCTCAGTTTCCCCCCAGAAGCTCCCTCCCAGTGCTGGAGGCCAGGAGGAAGCTGTGGCTGGACAGTTCTTGCAGAGGGGCACTGATGGTGCCTCCTGGCAGGGCCTGTCCCCTGCACCTGGCACTGGGCAGTGCCAGCACATTCTCCCAAAAATCCCGCAACAGAGGCTCCCACAGGCTTACAGACCTTGTTTGGTTCAGTTTGTGCCTCTCAGGGGCTGTGTTCCTCAGGATTGTCACTTCTGTGGCTGCTTTGAAGCTCCAGGTGAGCTCAGGAACACAGCAGAGCAGCAAGGTTCTGGTGAGATGCAGCTCAGGGGTTGTACCATGTGCAGACAGAGTGTAAGTGCAGCCTCTGCCCAAGTTTCAGAGCTAAATGCCACTGGAGTGTTTGTCTTTGGCGTGGTGTGGCACCCTTGCTGCTGGGCAGCTCAGGAGCTGCTCCCTTGGCAGAGGAGCCGTGGGCAGCCTGGCACTGCAGCCTGAGCTGCCTGCCTGCAGCTGGGCTCTGCAGAGTTCTGCTCTGAGACCTTCTCTAGTACCCCACCAGCGTGCTGTGTCCCTGTCAGGGGCCCCAACAGTGCACAGACATGGCCCTGGAGTGCGTCCAAGGAGCTGAAACCCCTCTGGAGCCAGGCTGGCAGAGCTGGGGCTGCTCAGCCTGCAGAAGAGAAGGCTCTGGAGGCATTAGAGCCCCTTCTAGTGCCTGAAGGGGCTCCAGGAAAGCAGGAGAGGACTTGGGACAAGAGCCTGGAGTGACAGGACAAAGGGGAATGGCTTCCCATGGACAGAGGGCAGGGTTAGATGGAATATTAGATGAGATGGGAAGCATTCTTCCCTGTGACAGTGGTGAGGGCCTGGCACTGGTTGCCCAGAGAAGCTGCCCCATGGTCCCTGGCAGTGTCCAAGGCCAGGCTGGATGGGGCTTGGAGCACCCTGGGGCAGTGGGAGGTGCCTCTGTCCATGGCAGGGAGTGGAACTGGATGATTCTGAGGGTCCCTTCCAGGAGAAGCCCCTCTGGGATTCCGTGGTTGTGTGGTTATGCTGGGCAGAGGCTGGGCTGCTCCATTCCATTGTCCCTGAGATGGGCACAGTGAGGGGCAGCCCCTGCCCAGCGGGGCTCTGGAGATGCAGCTGCAGGACAGGGCAGGGCTGCAGCCCAGCCCGTGCTCTCTGCGTTGTCACTGTGTTGGGGTCTGTCACCGCTCTGAAGGGTGGCACATGGGGCAGTGTGAGAGCGTGCCCATGGGAGCCATTGATCAGTGCTCCCTGCTCCTGCCCTGTGCTGGCTCTGCTGGCACCGGAGCTGGCACACGGGTGCTGTCCTGGGCTCTGCCATCAACACACGGGTGCTGTCCTGGGCTCTGCCAGCACGGTCTGTGCCGCACAGGCCACGGGCTGGTGCCTCTCTGCTTCTCACAGGGAGCACGTGCCTGGCCCAGGGCAGCGGGAGCGTTCGAGTGAGCTGGAGAACCTGCCCGGTGGTGACTCACCTGCCAGGCTCATCCTGCGCCTGCAAAAGTTTGGCTGTAAACTTCCATGGGGGCAGAGGCAGCTTTAGTGTTCGTAGCCACTCCTCACCCCATGTCTTTGGCACTGGTGTGGCCGTGTGAGTGCAGCTCTGGGAACCATTAAGGCTGGAGAAGCCCTCTGAGATCATAGTGTCCAACCATCAACCAGCACCACCACCATGTTCGCCACTGAACTATATCCTCAACTGCCGCTTCCACCCCTTCCAGGGATAGTGACTTGGTTCACCTTTAGCTGAAGGTGACCCCATCCCTTGTTGTGGAAAAGGAATACCTGATATCCAACCTAAACCTTCCCTGATGCAATTTGAGGATGTTCCCTCTTGTCCTGTCGTTAGTTGCTTGGGAGCAGAGCCCAGTCCCCACCTGGCTGCACTCTCCTGTCAGGGAGTTGTGGAATGAGAAGGTTCCCCCTGAGCCTCCTTTTCTCCAGGCTGAGCCCCTCCTGCTCCCTCAGCCAGTTCTCATCAGGGTTGTGCTCCAGATCCTCCAGTACAGATCTGGTCCCACAATTAAGCAGCATTAGATGGTCAGGAGGACACTGACAATGAGCCAAGCAGGGCTGTGACTGACCCGTCCTGGGTCACCCCCTGCGTTCCACGCCCCATCTGAGGGTGCTCCAGTCAGATGTGCTGCCACCCAGTTCCACTGGGTGCTCACAGCTTTCCCCTGTGTTGGCTGAGCATTGGTGCTGGGTGTTTCTGTGTGGGTGGCACCATCTCCCATCCTGGGAGGTGCACGTAGTGCTGCCCTGGTGCTGCTGCCTCAGGCACGACACAGGCTGGGCCTGCTCCCAACTGGAGCTGCTCCCTGCTCCCCTTCCACTGGCAGCTGCTGTCCAGAGCTCAGCACCCCAAACTGGGCGTGTGTGGGCTGGGAGAAGAGGTTTTTCTGCTCCTGAATTGGCTTGGGATGGCTAGTGTTCCCTGAGGAGCAGAAGGGCTCTGGGAAGAGCTGGTGTGGCTCTGACAGGGCTGTGCCTGTTCAGGTGGGGACAGCAGTGCTCAGAGCCCTCTGCCCAGGTGGCTGTGCCTGTTCACGTGGGGACAGCAGTGCTCAGAGCCCTCTGCCCAGGTGGCTGTGTCTGTTCAGGTGGGGACAGCAGTGCTCAGAGCCCTCTGCCCAGGTGGCTGTGCCTGTTCAGGTGGGGACAGGAGTGCTCAGAGCCCTCTGCCCAGGTGGCTGTGCCTGTTCAGGGGGGGACAGCAGTGCTCAGAGCCCTCTGCCCAGGTGGCTGTGTCTGTTCAGGTGGGGACAGCAGTGCTCAGAGCCCTCTGCCCAGGTGGCTGTGCCTGTTCAGGTGGGGACAGGAGTGCTCAGAGCCCTCTGCCCAGGTGGCTGTGCCTGTTCAGGGGGGGACAGCAGTGCTCAGAGCCCTCTGCCCAGGTGGCTGTGCCCCAGTCTCAGCTGCTCTGTGCCTGACTGAGCCCAGTCCATCCCGTGCCTCCCACAGAATGCTGGGCTGGGTGACACCATCCCTTTCTCAGGGACACCCCTTCCTCTCTCCAGAGTGTGCCCCAGCAGTGGTGCTGTCACCCCACGGGGGTGGCCTCCTGTACAGGGACACGGGTGACACGTGCATCTGTTGCAGGGCATCGTGGGGAACCTGTCCAGTGGCAAGTCAGCCCTGGTGCACCGCTACCTGACCGGCACCTACGTGCAGGAGGAGTCTCCAGAGGGTAAGCTCTGCTTCCCAGGGTGCCTGGGATGGGCTGGGGTCACTCCTCTCCATGGGGCTCTGCATGGCCCCAGCCCTCGTTTGGGGTGTCCCCTGCTTGCCCCCCTTACTGACCTGCAGCTTTGCTCCCAAGGTGGCCGGTTCAAGAAGGAGATTGTGGTGGATGGCCAGAGCTACTTGCTGCTGATTCGAGATGAAGGGGGCCCCCCTGAGCTCCAGGTAGGCGACCTGTGCTCCCTGTGCTCCCTTCCCACCCATCCTGGTGGAGGGGCTGGGGGCGGTGGTGCTGCCTGAGCCCGGGCTGTGGCTGCCCTTGCTGGCTGCCCCGGGCCGGGGTGTCCGTCTGTCTGTCCGTCCACGCTGTAATCCTGCCCTGTCCCTTCAGTTTGCTGCCTGGGTGGATGCAGTGGTGTTTGTCTTCAGCCTGGAGGATGAGATCAGCTTCCAGACCGTCTACAACTACTACCTGCGGCTCTGCAGCTACCGGAACACCGCCGAGGTGCCCATGGTGCTGGTGGGCACACAGGGTGAGGACGGCGCCCAGCTGCCCCCAGCCCAGCTGCCCCCAGCCCAGCCCAGCCACGAGCGGGAGTGCTGCTGCTGCTGCAGTGTCCTGCTGGCTCTGTGGGCACGGGGTGCTGGCCCCAGAGCAAACAAAGCTCTTGGAGCAAGAGCACACAGGGTGCTGGCCCCAGAGCACAGGGGGGCATCCTGGTCTGTGAGCCTTTCGTGGGGCTGAGGGACAATGCTGGGGCCCCAGCCCAGGGCCCTGAGCAGGGAGTTGCTGCTCACACCATCTCAGCTTCCCCACAGAGAGCTGCCCCATCCCATGGAGCCACTTCCCTCTGGAAATGGCATGGTAGCCTGGTGCTGCCTCCCCCAGCTCTGCCAGCACAGGCAGCAGGCAGCTGGGGGTGAAGAGCTTCTGTGTGACAGTAGAGAGCAGGAGCAGGACATGGATGTAGGGAAAAACTGTCCTGAGCACTGTGTCACCTGTTCCTGGCCAGGAAAACAGGCAGGAGCAGTGGGAGGGAGTCACAGGGGTCTGCTCCAGACCTCCATATTAAAAGCAGAACAAAGTTGTTAAACTTTGGATATTTAAAGATTGTGGAATGAATTTTAGGACTGGGTGATCTTGGTTCAGGGATGGGGTGGCAGCAGGCACTGTGGAGATGCAGGACAGGTAAGGGGTAGTGGCCACTGTTGTCCCAGACACAGAGCCAGGTGAGGCCCTGTCCTCGGTACAGGCACACAGCCATCTGGAGGGCTGGAGGAGGGCTTCCTCCAGGTTCTACCCCACCTGAGGAGGTTTGTTCACAGCCCTCCCTGGCTTGTCTTTAAGGAGTTGGATTCCTCTTTGGAAAGAAGTTTTTCCGAAACAGGCAAGCACTTGGTGACTATCTGGGATACAAACTGAGCCTGTATTTTAGAGCTGTCCAGGAATTCCTTGGCTATGGAGACGTCCCAGCAGAGTTGACTTTCTTGTTAAACCAGGAGGCTTTCTCCCTTGGATTCTTTAACATGTAGGGCTTGGCCATGAACTCTAAAATGTTGGAGACTGACCAATCAATTTTATTTGGCAGCTGGGCTGCCTGGCCTTGGTCCCCACACCTCCCCGAGGTGTTGTGCCTCTGTGTTGCTGAAGTGTTGGTGGCTGGGTTCTTTGTGGAGTTAAGTCAGGTTCCTTTACAGAGATTCATCCATTTTTGTACAAACGTGGGGCTCTGTGATCACAGGCATCTATGGGACAGTGCTGTGGAGGTGGTTCCTCTGTGTGGCGAAGGGAGGGAGGCCAGAGGTGTCGTGGGGCCCCTGGGTGGGTGAGACAGCCCCTTGCCTCCAGCCTGCTGTCCCTGTGGTTTGCAGATGCCATCAGTGCCACCAACCCGCGCGTCATCGACGACTCCCGCGCACGGAAGCTCTCCAATGACCTGAAGCGCTGCACCTACTACGAGACCTGTGCCACCTACGGCCTGAACGTGGAGAGGGTCTTCCAGGATGGTAACTGCAGCCCCCCGGGGCTCTGGGCACGGTGGGGCATGGCAGGGGGCTCTGTGCTGCCCTGGGAGCAGGAAACAGCTGTGCACAGCTGGGTGGGACAGCTGCTCCTCATGGGAACCGTGGGAGAGAGCGTTGCTGGGCTTGGACAGGGGGCTGCAGCTCAGTGATGCTCAGGGGCACAGGCAACCATCTCCTGGGGGTTTGCAGGCTGCTTAAATTAACTGTGAGCTTACCCTAAAGGGGACTGTGTGTCCCTCCAGTGACAGGGCAAGGGGGACTGGCCTGGAGCTGATGGGATGAGGTGTTTCTGGAGTGGGTAAGCAGTTCTTCCTAGTGAGCACTGGTGGATCCTGGTGCAGCTGGTTTGGGATCTTGGGGAGTCCATGGCAGTCCAGTTTCCATCAGACTCACCTTTATATGATGCCTTGCACCCCAATCCAGTTTCCATCAGACTTGCCTTTCTATGACTCCTTGCACCCCAATCCAGTTTCCATCAGACTTGCCTTCATATGACTCCTTGCGCCCTGGATCCCAGCAGACCTGTCCTGGCCAGGCTGGGGAGGATGTCCAGTTCCCACAGCAGGAGCTGCTTTCAGGGCCAGCTTTCCTGCCTGTGCTGAGTGGAGTCTGTGCTGCTGCACCTCTGTAGAGAGCCTTTCCCTGCCACTGTCCTGGGTCACAGCCAGTGGCCACTGACCTCTCTGGGGAGCAGGTCCACGTGGCAGGGAATGGGGTCCCTTCCTCCTTGCTGGTTTCTCTTGTCCCGGCAGGATTCCCCTGGAGGTGCTGCTGGCTCTGTGGGAACTGTGCTCCTCCATCCTTCCCATGTCCTCAGATGTCACAGGGACTTCTGTGGTGAGAGGATGGCATCTTGGTGTTGCCAGGTCCTGCCAGGAGATGGCCCTGGCAGGAGCAGTCACCCAGCCCTGGTCCTGCAGGAGGAGGAGGAGCAGTGAGCCAGCCCTGCTCCTGCAGGGCACGTGGGTGACTTCCTGAGCCTCAGCTCTGCTGCAGATCCCGAGTGCATGATGCTGCCTTTGCTGTGCCCTGAGCACTGCACAGGGCAGGAGGGGGCAGCCAACAGCTCCATGGCCCAGGACCTTGGCTGGGGTGCTGGTGGCGTTGCTGCTCTCCATTGTCCCCTCAAACACGGGGCTGCAGGCCCAGGCTCAGCATGAGCTCCCAGGGAGGCTCTGGAGCCCCAGCCCAGGGGACAGCTCCCATTCCTGTGCTGGCTGGGCACACTGTGAGCCCGTGCCCAGGGGACATGTCCCATTCCTGTGCTGGCTGGGCACACTGTGAGCCCGTGCCCAGGGGACATGTCCCATTCCTGTGCTGGCTGGGCACACTGTGAGCCCCAGCCCAGGGGACACCTCCCATCCCAGTGCTGGCTGGGCACACTGTGAGCCCCAGCCCAGAGGACACCTCCCATCCCAGTGCTGGCTGGGCACACTGTGAGAGCCCCAGCCCAGGGGACATGCCCCATTCCTGTGCTGGCTGGGCACACTGTGAGCCCCAGCTCCACAGGGAATATATTTCTGGAAATACCCAGAAAAAGCCCTCAGCTGCTGCTGTTGTAGGGAAGGAGCCTGGCAGAGGCTGTGCCCATCAGTTTTCCCACACCACTACTGCTAATGAGGAATTAACCATGAGACCACACTGGAGGGATAATATCTCCCCAGTCCTGAAATGAGGCACATTGAGGTGACCTTCACCTTCCTGCATGCCAGGCCCAGGCTCTTCTCCTTCCTGACCATCAGCCAGATGTTCTGGGATAGTTTCTGCCATCCCTTACACCAGTCTGTTGTGGTTTCTCTGGCTGCCACACAGAGCTGTGCTGTACAAGCAGTGAGGTGTGCCCTGCCTGCAGAGCCTGAGCTCTCCCTGCCCGTGTCACTGTGACACCAGCACCTGAGCATCACTCGGTGTTTCAGAGAAACCCAGCACTGCAGGTCTGAGAGAGGAAGAGCATGCAGAGGTCCCTGGTGACCCACCAGGGATTCTACACCCTCAGGGTCTCCCTTTACAGGCCCACAAGGCACAGACTGGTGGAGGGGCCATTT